TTTTTTTTGTGGAGATCCAGGGTCTCACTATATTGCTCAGGCTGGTTGCCAGAGGTTCAAGCAATCCTCCCACCTTGGCCTCCAAAAGTGCTGGGATTACAGACATGAACCACCGTGCTTGGACTGTTTTCCTTTTGATATTTTTTTATTTTATGTGTGTGGTTGATGATGGTCATGTGTTTTTGATGGCACATTAATTTAAAAAGTATTCAGAGTAGTTGGCGCTAATGAATGAACTGAGTAACATCTTCAATTTATGCACTTTTGTGTTAGAATTTTTATAACAAAAGCTCTTATATAGTTTAATAATGGTATCATGAAACACTATATTTATTGTGATCATCATTTTTCTTAATTTATTACTATGGAAAATAACTTGAGTCTTGACTTTTTTTTTTCTTAGTGCAAGTGTGGGTGCGTGTGTATCTCTGATCTTTCTATCACTTATTTCTTTACATTCTAAACAGCATACCTATAGTAGTTTACATTTCTTTTATTGTCCGTTATAATAACTGATGTTCATATGACATTTGTAGGTTTCTGAAATGCTTTTATGTGCCTTATTCTCATTTAATCTGTAAGGTAGCCCGAGGAAGTAGGTGGAATTATTTTCCCTTCTGGAAATACAGAAAGAAAAGCTGAGAGAAATATAAAAATTAACCCAAGTAAGTGGCATAGCTAGGACTCATTACCAGCTTCTCCGATTGCTAAGTCCCATTTTCCTGCACTACCCCACTTCCATAAACACCAGTTCTCATGATGTTGGTTGTTCTTACCTGGGGTAGTACCACCTTCATAGGGGCATTTGGAAGATGCTGGTTGTTAGAATGACATTAAAAATTCTGGCATTTAGTACTCAGTTACTTAATGTTAGGTCGTGTACAAGATGGTCTTGCACAACAAAGAATTATTCCACCCACAATGTCATTATACTCCCTGTTGAGAAATAATCGTCGTACTTTGCTATTGGTGACACTTTTGAGGATGGGAAGATCTGACCTTACTGACTCATGATGACACTTTTTACTATTTACAATGATAAGATAAATGTATTAGGACATAGCCCAATCCTTGAGGACCATTTGAGTGTGTAATGGAGTCTTATTCTTTGTTAGCCATCACCTCTTGTTTTTATACTTAACTCTGAAAAAAAGTCTCATCTGTCTATGTTGTTGCTTCTAATTTGCTGAGGACTGAAACCAAATAACCAAACTGATAAAAATTAATTAAGGAAAAAATCAGTCTCTGAATGAATGAGATCGTTTTCTATGGAACGGAGCTGGTGACCCTTGTTTCAGGTTCTCAGATGCCAGGTGACTTTGATGTGGCTGAGAGCTAGAGCCTAATCTAGTCCTTGATAGAAAGGAAATGTTTAGATTCTGTAATTCACCACATAAAGCAGTATCTTGGCTAACAGAAGTAATAACTTCTATGTCTATAGCAGTATTTCTACATAGTTCCTATCATTGCTGTGAATTAAGTTGGTTAAATACCACTCACTCACTAATTCATTCTTTTTTTTTTTTTTTTTTTTTGGAGACAGAGTCTTGCTGTGTCACCCAGGCTGGAGTACAATGGCACATTCTCAGTTCTCAGCTCACTGCAATATCCGCCTCGCAGGTTCAAGCGATTCTTCTGCCTCAGCCTCCCAAGTAGCTGGGATTACAGGCGCCTGCCACCGTGCCAGGCTAATTTTTTTTATTTTTTTTATTTTTTCAGTAGAGATGGGGTTTCACCATGTTGGTCAGGCTGGTCTCAAACTCCTGACCTCAGGTGATCCGCCTGCCTCGGCCTCCCAAAGTGCTGGGATTACAGATGTGAGCCACCGCGCTCTGCCCATTCATTCCTTCTATAGGAATTAATAATTGGAGCTTAAAGAGCCTCGGTTACTTTTCCAAGCTTACAAAGCCAATAAGTAGCAAAGTGCTGGCAGTGATTGAAACCAATGGCATTTCCATCAGGCTTTCCTGTTTCTCTGGGCGTGTCATTATATACATCTTCTGCTTGTAATTATTTGGTGTGGCTTCATTTTTAGATAAACTCACTTGTGATACTAATTTTTTCTTAGCATCTATATTCTTTATTATTTTAGCTGAAGTTAAAAAGAAGAAGAACAAGAAGAAGAACAAAAAGGTGAATGGTCTGCCTCCTGAAATAGCTGCCGTTCCTGAGCTGGCAAAATACTGGGCCCAGAGGTACAGGCTCTTCTCCCGTTTTGATGATGGGATTAAGTTGGACAGAGGTAAAGTGTATATGTATTTTTTAGCTTTATTTTGAAACCATTTCAAATTTACAGAAAGTTGTAAGAATAATACAGGGAATGTTCATATCCCCTTTCCCAGATTCAGCTATTTTCAACATTTTGCCCCATTTACGTTCTCATTCTGTCTCCATTTGTATGTGTGTGTATCTTTTTCTGATCAGTACTTAACACACATCATGCCCATATTCCTTAATACTTTAGCGTATATTTCCTGAGAACAAGTATATTGTTGTTTAAAACAGTAAATTATCAATTTAACATTGTTCCAATATTATAATCTACACTTTATACTCTAGTTTCATCAGTTGTCCTAATCTTGTCCTTTATCACATTTTTTTTTCCTTCCAGTATAGGATCATTTATTGCATTTATTTTTCATGTTCTTTAGTTTCCTTTAATCTGGAATCTTTCCTTAGCCTTTTTTGTCTTTCATGACTAACATTTTTCAAAGGATCAATGGCCATTTATTTTATAGAATGTCCTTCAATTTGGGTATATATATGTGTGTGTGTATTTTTAAAACTTCAGATTTGGGTTTAATCTGTATTTGTAGCACCTTAGGATAGATAGCAAAAGCGATTTGATAAGTTATTAAATGGAAAACCTGATCAAGAAATACCTAGTGCAGAAAGACACAATTTAATTAATTAACTTTACAAGTTTTGAATTCTTTCTCCAGCTTTCCTGCCATGATCTGCAACAACTTACTTAACTCAGTCTTGCAGACTGATGCTCATTTTCATGTTGGGGTTACCTCAATATTGGTTTTTATTAACTATCAAAATCAGAAGTTCTTGATCTATGATGGAATTTCAGGGGTTCTCCAACCCTTTTAAAACAATTTGCAAAATGCTGTGTATTGGAAGAAGTAGTACATAGGAATTTGTAAGGAGAAATAAGAGTGGAAAACACTTGCAATTATATAAAAGTGTGTATTCTTATTTTTCCAGTATCGAAGAGCCATTTAAACTTTTGGTAAGGGGAGGCAACAGGAAAATTAACACACATTATTTTTATTTATTTATTTTTCTTTTTTATTTTATTTTTATTTTTATTTATTTATTTATTTATTTTTGAGACAGGGTCTCACTCTGTCACCCAGGCTGGAGTACAGTGGCACAATCTCGGCTCACTGCAACCTCCACCTCCCAGGCTAAAGCAATCCTCATGCCTCAGCCTCCTAAGCAGCTGGGATTACAAGCAAGCACTATCATGCTTGGCTAACTTTTTGTACAGACAGGGTTTTGCCATGTTGCCCAGGCTGCTCTCAAACTCCTGGGCTCAAGTGATCCACCACGTCCAGCCCAGCACATCATTTTGTTCAGATAAATGTCTTTCTGAAAAAATGTGAATTTTTCCTACTATGAAAGAAGGAGGTCAGTATTCTGTTTCCTCTAGAATGGACACAGGACCTCATTTCTGGAAATGATGAGGGCTCTGCTCTTCCTATACTTCTGCAGCCCTGTTGCCTTTTGCTATCAGCTCCTGCTTTTTCTGACCCTTTAAAAACATGCAGTTTTGGCCAGGCATGGTGGCTCACACCTGTAATTCCAGCACTTTGGGAGACTGAGGCAGGCACATCACTTGAGGCTAGGAGTTCAAGACCAACCTGGCTAACATGGCAAAACACCATCTCTCCTAAAAATACAAAAATTGGCTGGGTGTGGTCGCTTGTGCCTGTAGTCCCAACTACTCAGGAGGCTGAGGCATGAGAATTGCTTGAAGCCAGGAGGCAGAAGGTGCGGTGAGCCAAGATCATGCTGTTGCACTCCAACCTGGGCAACAGAGCAAGACACTGTCTCCAAAAAAAAAATTCCGTTTTTTCTGGAGTGTACAATACAAATCCAGGCTATTGCTTCAACCTTAGGAGTGAAATTACTGGGAAACTCAGTGGAGTGTGGGGAGCTAGCCAATTAGAGGAACTAGTTCTCTATTTTCCACAGGAGTCAGTAGTTAAAGCCTCAAACAGAAACATCAAAATTGTAATTCAGTTATTGCAAAGATGGAGGTACACAGTATTACAAGAGAATTCGGTTAAGAATGAGGTCATCATTTCTGTGGAAATTGGGAATGGTGCTGCTTTTTATAACAAACTTTGAAATTTTTTTCTTTAAAACTGGGTAATTTATTATTTTTTAAAAAGGGAAACTAAGCTTTTTAAAAGTATGTAAGATATAGTAATGTTTGCTATGTTTATGCTTGCCTTGGCTTCTTGAAATTGAACATGTTAACACAAATATTCTTCCTTTGCAGAGGGCTGGTTTTCAGTTACACCCGAGAAGATTGCTGAACACATTGCTGGCCGTGTTAGTCAGTCCTTCAAGTGTGATGTTGTAGTAGACGCATTCTGTGGGGTTGGAGGAAATACCATTCAGTTTGCCTTAACAGGAATGAGAGGTAATTAGCCATCAATGGGAGAGAACTATTTTATGTCCAGTTTATTCAGTAAATGTTTCGATTTTGCTACAGCCTATCTTACTGAGATTTAATATATAATTAATAATTTAATATGAAATGATATAATAGCTAGCATATATTAAGCTATACTTTGTATTGCATACTGGTGTAAATGCTTCCTATAGTTGACACTTGGACAATACGGATTTGAACTGCATGAGTCCATTTATACCCAGATTTTTTTCAGTAAATAAATTGGAAAATGTGGCCGGGCGCGGTGGCTCAAGCCTGTAATCCCAGCACTTTGGGAGGCCGAGACGGGCGGATCACGAGGTCAGGAGATCGAGACCATCCTGGCGAACACGGTGAAACCCCGTCTCTACTAAAAAAGTACAAAAAACTAGCCGGGCGAGGTGGCGGGCGCCTGTAGTCCCAGTTACTCGGGAGGCTGAGGCAGGAGAATGGTGTAAACCCGGGAGGCGGAGCTTGCAATGAGCTGAGATCCGGCCACTGCACTCCCGAGTAACAGGGGTTGATACACAGTCTCAAAAAAAAAAAAAAAAAAATTGGAAAATGTTCTAGAGATTTGTGACAATTAAAAAAAAAAAAAAAATGCACGTGAATCCCCTGTAGCCTAGATACATTGAAATAATTTAAAAGTTAAGAATGTCATGAATACATCAAACATATGTAGATACTAGTTTGTTTTATCATTTACTACCATAAAATATGCACAAATCTGTTGTAAAAAGTTAAAATTTGCCTGGGCACAGCAGTTTATGCCCGTAATTCTAGCAATTTGGGAGTTAGAGGCAAGAGGATCACTTGAGGCCAGGAGTTTGAGACCAACCTGGTCTCTAGAAAAAAATTTAAAAATTGACCAGGCACAGTGGCTTATGCCTGTAATCCCAGCACTTTGGGAGGCTGAGGTGGACAGGTCACCTGAGGTCGGGAGTTCGACACCAGCCTGGCCAACATGGCGAAACCCTATCTACTAAAAATACAAAAATTAGCTGGGCGTGATGGTATGCACCTGTAGTCGCAGCTACGGGAGGCTGAGACAGGAGACTCACTTGAACCCAGGAGGCAGAGGTTGCAGTGAGCTGAGATCATGCCACTGCACTCCAGCCTGGGCAACAAAGTGAGACTCCATCTAAAGAAAAAATTTAAAAATTAGCCAGACGTGGTGGTGTGTGCCTATAGTCCCAGCTACTCAGGCTGAGATGGGAGGATGACCTGAGCCCAGAAATTGCAGGCTGCAGTGGTGCTGGAATGCACCACTGCATTCCAGCTGGGGCAACAGAGTGAGACCCAGGCTCTTAAAAAAATTATAGGCTGGGCACGGTGGCTCATGCCTGTAATCCCAGCAGTTTGGAAGGCCGAGGTGGGCCGATCACTTGAGGTTGGGAGTTCACAACCAGCCTGACCAACATGGAAAAACCCTGTCTCTACTAAAAATACAAAATTAACCAGGTGTGGTGGCACATGCCTGTCATCCCAGCTACTCAGAAGGCTGAGGCAAGAGAATTGCTTGAACCCGGGAGGTGGAGGTTGCAGTGAGCTGAGATCATGCCACTGCATTCCAACCTGGGCAACAGAGCGAGACTCCATCTCAAAAAAAAAAAAAAAAAAAAAACTTTATCAATAAATACAGTACTGTAAATGTATTTTCCTTATGATTTACTTAGTAACAGTTTTTTTTCTCTAGGTTCCTTTATTTTAGGAATACTATGTATAATACATACAACGTACAAAATACGTGTTAATTAACTGTTTATTGATGAGGCTTCAGGTTAACGGTAGGCTATTAAAAGTTAAGTTTGAGGAGTCCAAAATTATACACAGATTTTTGACTTCACAAGGGGTCAGGGCTCCTAATGTCCATGTTAAGGGCCAACTATATGTATTAATTTATTTAATCAACAATCTTGTGAATTATGTCTTACTATCTGTGCTTCACAGATTAAACTGAGACATAAAGAGATGAAATAACTTGCCCAAGATTATACTGACACACCTACTAACTTGAAGCCAAGATCATAATATTTTGTAAAACCAAAATTACCAAAATGGGAGAGTATTGAACAGTAGACAGGGAGTCCCAGCCTTTGCACTCACTATCTTTATGACTTTGGACATCATTTAACCTTAAAGGAGACATTGAATTTAGATGACCTCTGTGACACCTTTCAAAAAGCTTTAAATTTCAGAGACTACAAATTATTTAAATATTATCTCATTGTCATATAATATTTGTTGCTTGACTTTGGGATCACAAGAAAGAAAACCCCTTACCACTGTGTAACTGCCAGTAACTGTGTCAAGTAGGTAATGTGCTTTTCCCCAGGGGAAAAAATGGGTTGAAGAAGTTGGACATTCTGCCCAAACTGATATAGATGGGTCATAAAACAGGGGGGTTTTTGTTTGCTTCTTTGTTTCTTTGTTTTGTTTTTAGACAGTGTCTCACTATATCTCCCAGGCTAAAGTGTAGTGGCGTGATCAGGACTCATTGCAGCCTTGACTTCCTGGGCTCAAATGATCCTCCCATCTCAGCCTCCCAAGTAGCTGAGACTACAGGCATGTGCCACCATGCCCTGCTAATTTTTTTTTTTTTTTTTTTTTTTTTTGAGACGGAGTCTCGCTCTGTCGCCCAGGCTGGAGTGTAGTGGCCGGATCTCAGCTCACTGCAAGCTCCGCCTCCCGGGTTTACACCATTCTCCTGCCTCAGCCTCCCGAGTAGCTGGGACTACAGGCGCCCGCCACCTCGCCCGGCTAGTTTTTTTGTATTTTTTAGTAGAGACGGGGTTTCACCGTATTAGCCAGGATAGTCTCGATCTCCTGACCTCGTGATCCGCCCGTCTCGGCCTCCCAAAGTGCTGGGATTACAGGCTTGAGCCACCGTGCCCGGCCCCCTGCTAATTTTTTTAAAATTTTTGTATAGACAAGATCTTGCTGTATTCTCCAGGCTAGTCTTAAACCCCTGGCTTTAAGCAGTCCTCCCCTTGGCCTCTAAAAGTCTGGAATTACATGAGCCACCACACTGAGACAAGAAGCAGAGTTTTTATTTAGTTTTCATTCTGAAGATGCATATTTTTAAATATCTTCGTATTATACATATCAATGATAGTTTCATTTCAACAGATTTCTACTGAATCTCATTAATTTATATGAAGTTAATGTTAAGTAGGAAGCGTAATATGATTTTGGAAAGCACGTAGTAGCTATAGAAAAAAACAGACTCAGTCCTTGCTTGGTCTAGTCAGAGAAACTGACTTTAATCAAGTTGCACTGAAAATGATCTTATCGCCTTGCCATTACATAGATTTTTAAGGTCAGTGCTGATGAAATGTGGCCCCTGTTTTAATACTCCTATGCTCCAAGGCATGATATTTGCTAACTTTACATGGTCTCCTGATAGCCTAGAGATAAGCTACTTTCATGTTTACTAGAGTAGTGGTTATTTTCTTTTTTCTTTGAATTTACTATTTACTATTAAAGTTCTTCTCAGACTTTGCCAGATAAGCCATTCCTATGGGCTAAAATCAATATTTATTGCTTAAAAAATGGTTTTTCCTTAAAAGTTGTAAAATGTATCTTCGTTTTGGCCTTACATCATAACACAATGATTGAAACACCTGCTCCCTGATAAAGTAGCAAAGAGATGTGAAAATTTTCTCAGATTTATTACTCAGACCGTCTATATATAGGTATGTATTTCTTTTTTTTTGAGATGGAGTCTCGCTCTGTTGCCCAGGTTGGAGTGCAGTGGCGCAATCTTAGCTCACTACAACCTTTGCCTCCCGGGTTCAAGTGATTCTTCTGCCTCAGCTTCCCAAATAGCTGGGACTACAGGGGCCTGCCACCACGCCCAGCTAACTTTTTTATTTTTAGTAGAGGTGGGGTTTCACCATGTTGGCCACCCACCTCGGCCTCCCAATGTGCTGGGATTACAGGCATGAGCCACCGCCCTTAGCCCATAGATTTGTATTTCTAGGAGTATAGATCTTTTGCCAAGGCTTTCTGTATTTAGTGCACATTTACTAAAGGAAGATGTCTAATGTGGGTCCCAAGCTAAAGGGACTAACCCTTAGAGATTGCCAGCCTCTGGGGAAAAACGGAGGCAGACAGCAAACCCCGTGGCCTTCCCAGTGCTGTCATGACGTAACTTCTGCCTTTGCAGCATGTGGTACTGGAAACTCAGGAACCCTCCAGCATGTTCAGGGTAGTGGAGTCCCATAACTTGCCCCCCGAACCAGAAGTGGTAGTTCACAGGTGTTCCATGAATGTCAGTTATCAGTACTCCTCCTGGTATCCCCCTAGGATGGTTGAGCTAACTACATTATGGCAGGGAATTCAAAACAATTAAAGTATAATTGATTTAGTGTGTTTGTGTGTACATATGTAAATATACACATATAATCAATTACACTTAACTGTTTTGAGTTCCCTATCATAAATGTATGTTCATGTGTGCTCATGTACATATTCATATAATCAGTTATGCTTGAACTATATGTGCGTTTATACATTTACATATATATGCAACATACATACAAAAAGATGGCATTGCATATAGTTGAGATTATCCCTTTGTGCCAGATTTATTTCCACTCAGATAGTTGCTGTCTGTGCATAACTGAAGGGTTAGGGAATCTGTAAAGTTTTGCATGTTGCTGTTGTTAAAGATATCTTTCCACTTTGTATGCGTTCCAGTAGTTTAGCAACAGTACTGCCTGGTAGAACTTTTTGCGATGACTTATATGTTCTGTATGTGTGCTGTCCAATATGATAGCCACATGTGGCTATTAAGCAGTTGAAGTGTGCTAGTATGACTGAGGATTAACATTCGTCAGCTTTTTTTTTTTTTAGTTGTGGGGTGGAGGTGTTTTGGTCTGTCACTCAGGCTGAAGTGCAGTGGCACAGTCTCAGCTCACTGCAGCCTCCTCCTCCCAGGCCCAAGTGATTCACTTAAACCTCCTGAGTAGCTGGGACTGCTGGCACATGCCACCCCACCTGGCTTATTTTTTGTGGTTTTGATAGAGATGAGGTTTCAAACTCCTGAGCTCAAGGGATCTACCCGCCTCAGCCTTCCAAAGTGCTGGGATTACAGGCATGAGCCACCGTGCCCAGCCAGCATTTCTTTTATGTGATAGATTGAATGCTTCCATTCTTATTAGGCCTAAAAGTTTGCCTTCAAAAGAAATACAGATGAAAATAGGATTAACTGAATAGATTTGATGTTGAAAGTCACTTTTTCTTTTGAATTTTTAGTATTATCAGCATATCTTTCCCTGTCTCTGAACTATAAATATAACAGACTGAGCAGCTGAAAAGGATCTTTTCTCTTACAAATGTGAATGTTAGTTTATTTAGAACAGGAAAAACAGCATCATAAATGTATGATTTTGCAATGCATTATAATTGGTGCTTATATTTATTGTTCAAGTGATTTAGCACATTATTTCTCAAAAACGTTAACAAATTTGGGAACTAGCATTTTCTGGAAAACAACTACATTTCCATGACAACCACGCTGTAAGCATCACTGTTCCACTTAGCCCTTTCAAATAAAGAATACTGCCATTAACACTAGTGCACATGCAAGTGTACTGAGTAGTTTACTGCAAAACATGGATAGGCTAAAATTAAATTATGTCTATGTTGCTAATTATAAAATTGGAATAAAGTAAATGAAAGTCCATTTGGTGAAAACATAATATTATCTGTTTCCTCTACCTAAAATGTCTCATTCAACATTATCGGCAGGTGTTTTTACACTTCTTCTTCATCACTTGGCTATATAAGTTTGTAAAAATGTGTTTTGTTTTGGTTTTCCTTAGAAGTTGTCGAATTTGTGTTCATTTGGGCATTGCTACATTTTGAGGAAGTTTGTCTTTTCCAAAACCTAGCATTATAGGCTGTCCATACAGTGACCTTTTCAAGTGTTTCCTGCTCAGGCTGTAGCACAGCACAGCGGTGGCCACATATTTGACACTCAGTAGATATTTTGTGGCAAGTATTACCACCTGCTTAGGAAAAGCTGTAGAATGAGACAAGAAAGCCAAGACCTTCAGTCACATTTTCTTGGTACAACACAAGTGAATCTTTCTAATTTAAATAAAAAATTTAAATGGAAGTCTATATATCGGGTATATGTGGCCAAATGTCTCCTCCTCTTTAAAAAGAGTTCTTATACAGAAGATGACAGACTATTCAAAAGATAAACTATCTTATATAAGTAATAATCAGTGTCAATTAACTCATTTTTTTCTTTTCCCATTTTTAGTGATTGCCATTGATATCGATCCTGTTAAGATTGCCCTTGCTCGTAATAATGCAGAAGTTTATGGGATAGCAGATAAGATAGAGTTCATCTGTGGAGATTTCTTGCTGCTGGCTGCTTGTTTAAAGGCTGATGTTGTGTTCCTCAGCCCGCCTTGGGGAGGGCCAGACTATGCCACTGCAGAGACCTTTGACATTAGGACGATGATGTCTCCTGATGGATATCCTTTGGAAGTCTTAAGAGTTTACTGAAACAGTGATTGTGGAGAGAAAGGAGCATGAGAGTGAGAGAAACAGGGAGTGTGGGAGGGTGGACGGGGTGGCTCACATTTGTAATCCTAGCACATCGGGAGGCTGAGGCAGGTGGATCACCTGAGGTCAGGAGTTCGAGACCAGCCTGGCCAACATGATGAAACCCTGTCTCTACTAAAAATACAAAAATTAGCCGGGCATAGTGGCACGTGCGTGTAATCTAGCTACTCGGGAGGCCAAAGCACAAGAATCACTTGAACTCAGGAGGCAGAGGTTGCAGTGACCTGAGATCGCGCCACTGCACTCCACCCTGGGGAACAGAGCGGGACTCTGTCTCAAAAGAGAGAGAGAGCTAGGCCAGGCACAGTGGCTCACGCCTGTAATCTCAGCACTTTGGGAGGCCGAGGCAGGTGGATCACGAGGTCAGGAGATCAAGACCATCCTGGCTAACACGGTGAAACCCCGTCTCTACTAAAAATAACAAAAAAATAGCCAGGCATGGTGGCACGTGCCTGTACTCCCAGCAACTCAGGAGGCTGAGGCAGGAGAATCGCTTGGACCTGGGAGGCTGAGGTTCCAGTGAGCTGAGATTGCGCCACTGCACTCCAGCCTAGGCGACAGGGCGAGACTCCATCTCAAAAAAAAGAGAGAGAAATTAGTGAAGAGACAGAATATTACCTAACAGCATTTGGTAAATTCTAGTTTATTTTACATAAAAAGCAGGTATGTAAAAATTATCTGGGGGTCGATCTCCAAAAGTGATGACAAATATGAGGTCATGTTTCCCTTGCTTGCTATTCGATTTTACCATTATAAAACAAGGACTAGAACACAAAGATTGGACTTATTGTCTTGTGAATTGGGAATTTCCTCAAAAAATATCCCTGGAGTTTGTCGGTAACCATTCTATAACTCTTCAGTTGACACTGATGCTGGCTAATTTACTGTGTATCTTCCCATTTTTCCTGTTACTCTTCCAGGATGTCAAAGCAAAACCTTATTTCATGGAGTAACATTTGTTATTTGTCCCTTTCGCTACCTGCCACTCCACAGTAATCATCTGTTTGACTCTTAACAGGAAACATTTCTAAAATTTAGAGTGTACTCCGGGGTGTGGTGGCTCACGCCTGTACTCCCAGCACTTTGGGAGCCCGAGGCAGGCAAATCACTTGAGGTCAGGAGTTCAAGACCAGCCTGAACAACGTGGCTGAACCCCGTCTCTACTAAAAATATAAAAATTAGCTGGGCATGACGGTGGGCGCCTGTAATCTCAGCTACTCCAGGAGGCTGAGGCAGAAGAATTGCTTGAACCTGCCACTGCACTCCAGCCTGAGTGACAGAGCAAGACTCTGTCTCAAAAAAAAAAATAATTTACAGTGTAAATTAGCTGGGCATGGTGGCACATGCCTATAATCCTGTAGTCCCAGCTACTCAGGAGGCTGAGGCAGGAGGATCACTTGAACCCAGGAGGAGGTTGCAGTGAACTGAGATTGCACTACTGTACTCCAGCCTGGGCAGCAGAGCCAGACCCTGTCTCAAAAATAAATAAATAAGCAGAGCCAGACTCTTATCTCAAGAATAATAAATAAAATCAAAAATTAAAAAATAAAATTTAGAGTGTAGACTACGATGGCCATGGTTACTTTATTCTTTACTGGGAATACATGGTATTGTGCTTTCCTATTTCCTATTCTGTTTTTCAATAATTAGGAAATGACAGAGAAAGGATCTGTATTTCTGACTCTTGCCTAGTACCTACCACTAGGATAATTGAAATCGATTTAACTATTAGTCTTTGAATTATCGATACAGTATTTTGCTGAATTACAAAATTTTGTATGTAATTCTCTTTTAGGTTCCATTAAAGGGTTTTAAGTTTTTGCTTTTTAGTTACATTTTGAAATACATTTGAGTTACAATAAGTAAAACATACCTCTTTCTGATTAGAAATTAGCTGCTGTTTTTGTTATTTTTCCTTAACTGCTGTCCACCTTTGAAATTTTCAGACTTTCCAAGAAGATCACTAATAATATTGTTTATTTTCTTCCAAGAAATGCTGATATTGACCAGGTAAGCCATTACTGAAGAACTTCCATGAGTTTCTGTCTTAACTGTTAGAAGTACAGTAAAAGATACAGGACATTTCCTTACCAGAGAATGTGTTTTTGAGTAGTCCCTGACTCACTGACTGTTCTTAGAAAACTGGAAGTATCTGGAAGTTATATTAAATGTAGACAGGCTCATTTGAGTACTTGAATAATGAGAGGAAATCACTGTTTATCATGCAATTTATGCTGATTAACTTTTTCTAGTTACATTAACACTTTCACAAAGAGAAAGTTAACTTTTTCTTTAACTTGTGTTTTTGGTTTATTTCAAAAACTTTCCAGAATTGGAGTTGGTGATTCATGTTTTTTGCCTCTAGAGGGAGTAATGACACTAGGGAATAATAAAACCAAGAAAGACTGAGATTTCAAGTGTATTATTTTATTATTATTATTTCAAGTGTATTTTTTTGCTATCAAATTTAGATCAGATTACAATGGGAAATCAACTTTTTTAAAATGAAGAATATGTATCCATATGTAGGAACTTTTTAATGACAGGAGACAGTACTAAAAATTTAGAGAAATCACAGTTGCAAAGAAATTGACTTTTTTTTGTTAAGGAACTTTTAGAATGTTACAACAACCTGAATTTACAGATGGTTTGGGTTCCCAAGTGTGTCACAGTCTGCTGTTTGAAACTCAGGCTGTATTTTTCTCATAGAAATGTCTGTGAAGGATAGTTAATTTCCCATCCAGGGAGATTATACTCTTAGATAATGTTTATATCATCCTAAATAGCATGGACTCAATACAAATACAACTTATCTCAAATATTTCCATGTAAGAGATGATGCTAATTGTTTTCTGTATCTAGTGAAATGTTTTTCTAGGTCCCTTATTACCTCAATCTTCTATTCCTTTTTTCTATTCGGAGATGATTCCAAGACATGCATTTCTTGCTAAGAACTCTAAGAACTGAGTAATTTAGAAAAATATCTTTTTGTGAGAGGCTCTTTGGAGGTAAGGTATATACCTTACTGTTTGAAATTGCTGTTGAAACCCAAGAACTAATATTTATTTATTTATTTAATGGAGATAGGGTTTCTCTCTGTCACGCAGACTGGAATGCAGTAGCATGATCATAGCTCACTGCAACCTCAAATTCCTGGGCTCAAGTGATCCTCCTGCCTCAGCTTTCTAAAATGCTAGGATCTCAAATCCAATTCAAAAAGCCCAGAGTAAACATATTTTATCTGCTTGATGCCTGTATCTTGCCATGCTTTCCTTTCTTTCTTTCCTTGGACAGCCGGAGAATTCCAACTAATTCTAGCTTTGGATTTACCATGCTTTGCAAACATGAAAGGTTTCTCTTTTAAGTGGTAAACCTATTGAATATATTAATAGATAAAAATCTCTGAACAGACAAGGACTTAGTCCTTCCCAAAGGAAGATGCAGGCAGCAATTATCAAACACCACCTTTGTGTGAAATCCTTGTGGGTGGAATCTCTGACATAAGGAGTCTCGTCTCTTAGCCCAAGGCAAGAACGTAGAGAGGAAGTCTGCTGGTCTATTTGATATGGCAGCTCCTTATCCTTGTTTAATTTTATAATTAGACATAAAATATCTAGTCTCAGAAGAGTGATAGCATTTGTACTTTCCAGGTAAGATAATTTAAGTTACTTATCTTTATGTTATAGTATGTATCTTGCCAATACAGAGAGCAGGGCAACATTAAGCAACATCCCTAAGAATTATGTTTAAAAAATGAACTGCATTGTGTTAATTCCTGGCCTTTGTCTAGCAGACACACTCTACCCTTCCATGGCTTCCCCAGGCACATGTCATGGTAACATTTGTGCCAGGCAAACCCTACCTTTTTTATTTCCTCATAAAGTGGAGAAGTTTACAAATTAACTAATAATTAAATAAACCCTAAGTATAAAATTGATGTTAGATTTAATAATGGGATTCATCTCTTTTTTGTTGTTGTTTTTTGTTTTTTGTTTTTGAGACAGTCTTGCTCTGTCACCCAGGCTGGAGTGCAATGGCATGATCTCGGCTCACTGCAACCTCTGCCTGCCTCTCAGGTTCAAGCGATTCTCCTGCCTCAACCTCCCAAGTAGTTGGGACTACAGGCGCACACCACCACGCCCAGCTAATTTTTGTATTTTTAGTAGAGACAGGTTTCACCATGTTGGCCAGGATGGTCTCGATCTCTTGACCTCTTGATCTGCCCACCTCGGCCTCCCAAAGTGCTGGGATTACAGGCATGAGCCACCGCGCCTGGCCCTCATCTCTCCTTAGTTGGCAGAGTACTTGAGGCTCCAATTGTCTTTTTATATTTTGTTCTATAATGCCTAGGAAGGGAAACGTTCCTCATTGTAACAGTCACTTCTAATAGTTTATTTTGGTAGATAAGTAGGTAGATGGATAGATAGGTCGATAGGAATGAGGTACTTATAGGTAATATTTCTAAAACTTATATATAAGAATAGAATTGTAAGTATTTGAATAATGAACTGTTTGTAAATATGAAAAACTATTAGGTAATATTGTTATGTGGAAAATGTTTTAAATATAACTAAATTCAGTTTATTAGCATTTTTGGTGGTTTTGGCTAAATACAATAAAAATGTATCAGATTTATTTGCAAATATTCTAAGTAATTATAGTATCTGTGTATTTAATAAATGGAAGATTGGGCCCTAACTGGTTTCTAAATATTCGATTTTTTTAATTTGTGTCAAATTTTTCTGAATTTAGTAGTGGAAATCTAATCTAATGGTAGCTCTCGTATAAGTAGAGAACATTAGTCCAGGTTTAGGAACCAGAAGCATGAGAGAGTAAAAAGAAGGCTAAGAACTGGATTGGGCTTCTGGTACATGTTGGGATAGTAGACTCCAAGCTAGTTACTTGAAAATAGCCTTTACAACTCATAGCACTCCACAGTGCGTTCATCCTACCACACTAACAATACCCTGCATTCGTACACTATACGTCTACAACATAGGAGCTGGCATACATGCTTAGGGTGTACAGTGTCCTCTTAGCCATTTCATTGACTCATCATGAGATTCTGGAGCAGTATATTTCTGGAGCACCTGATCTCATTGGTGGCTAAACTGTGGAGGTATGGGGATTTGCCTGGTCATTCTGCCGCACAGCGACAGTCTTATTACACCTTGCTGTCTCCCACTGACACAGTGTTCGTTACCAAGAAGAAACAGATTTATCTGTTACCACAATATTAGCTCACCATGAGATTGGAGCAATAAGTAGAATTTGACTCTTTCAGTAATTGGTTCCCAATTTTTTTTTGAGACAGAGCCAGGCTAGAGGACAGTGTTATGATCATGGCTCTCTGCAGCCTCCCAGACTGAAACAATTCTCCCACATCTGTCTCCCGAGTACCTGGGACTACAGTTGTGCACCACCACACCTGGCTAGTTTTTATATTTTTTTGCAGAGATGCGGTTTCGCATGTTGGCCAGCTATTCTTCACCTCAGCATCCCAAAGTGCTGGGATTACAGGCATGAACCACTGCACGCAGCCTGGTTCCCAGTTTTTTTGTTTGTTTGTTGTTTTGTTTTATTTTGTTTTGAGATGGAGTATCTCTCTGTGGCCCAGGCTGGAGTGCAGTGGCATGATCTCAGCTCACTGCAAGCTCCGCCTTCTGGGTTCACGCCATTCTCGTGCCTCAGCCCCCTGAGTAGCTGGAACTACAGACGCTCACCACCACGCCCGGCTAATTTTTTTGTATTCTTAGTAGAGACGGGGTTTCACCATATTAGCAAGGATGGTCTTGATCTCCTGACCTCGTGATCCACCCACCTCAGCCTCCCAAAGTGCTGGGATTACAGGCGTGAACCACCGCGTCCGGCCCAGTTCCCAGTTTTCTAGACCAACTCGATTCTTAGTGAAATCACTGCTTAATCATACACTGCAATTCATGATAAATATATGATCAGTTCCTAATATTTACTAGCCAGCTTTTCCCTTGGGAAGTTTGCTGCTGCACAATTAGAGCAGAATCGTTTGTTCTTAAACCGTATATATTGTCATGCGCTAGAGGGGTTGTGGAACTGATTGGCCTCATAGTTGACTTGGGAAGACATAAATGCAGTTTTGCTGAAATGCTTCTAAATATAGCTTGTATCTCCTTCACTACTGTGGGTAACTTTTCTCACTAAATGATGGAGATAGAAATTAGAGGGATACCCAGCTCTTGTGCGCCACGCAGTGCTGTCTGCCAGTCCTGTACTGATAGCCTGTGCTCTCTGTAATTTGTTGAACAGTCTTCATGTTTCCGGTATCTGGTTCTGAGAATGAGTGAAGGACAGAACTTAGTGAACTGGTTGTTTTGGGGTTTTGGTGGGGTTTTTTCCTTCTTTGGAGACAAAGCCTCGCTCTATCCACAAGGCTGGAGTACAGTCACATGATCACAGCTCACTGCAGCCTCAACCCCCCAAGCGCAAACAATCCTCCTACCTCAGCCTTCAGAGTAGGTGGAACCATATGCACGGGCCACCACGCCTGGCTAATTTTTTTATTTTTTGTAGAGACAGGGTTTCACCATGTTGCCTAGGCTGGACTTCTAGGCTAAAGCAGTCTTTCTACTTCAGCCACCCAAAGTTCTGGGATTACAGGCATAAGCCACCGTAACTGGCCTGGTAGCCTCCTTTTAGGACACCAGTGTAAGTTAGCTTGTGATGCCTGGGAGAATTTTTTTTTTTTTTTTTTTTTTGAGACGGAGTTTTGCTGTTGTTGCCCAGGCTGGAGTACAATGGCCTGATCTCAGCTCATCACAACCTCCACTTCCCGGGTTCAAGCCATTCTCCTGCCTCAGCCTCCCAAGTAGCTGGGATTACAGGCATGCACCACTATGCCCGGCTAATTTATTTTTAGTAGAGACGGGATTTCTCCATGTTGGTCAGGCTGGTCTCGAACTCCTGACCTCAGGTGATCTGCCCGCCTCAGCCTCCCAAAGTGCTGGGATTACAGGCGTAAGCCACTATGCCCGGCAACCTGGAAGAATTTTTTTTTGACCTATCACCAGATGTTCCTGTTGATGATGGTCGCTTTAAGATTTATTTACTTAAGCATAGAAATCTCATTTCTGTTTACCATGTGCAAAGAATGGAACTAATTTAATGAATATTTTTAAGTTTGAATGACGTCTGATTTTCTGCTGACTAAAAAATATTTTCTTCTTTCACCTCCCAGAGAACTTCTAATTACCAGAAATGTTTTCTCAACTTTGTTTTATTTTCGTGTGGTTATTAGTTGGATCTAGCAAAAGAAAAGAGGACAAAAAGAACTAGTGGTAAGGCACTTACTTGGCCTGTGTGACATTAGGTTTGTAGTCACAGCCAGTATTTCAGATGCTTGCTGCTGCTAGCATTGTATTTGACACAGATCTGAAGGCCACATAAAATGGTCTTTATTTTTATCTGGTACGATTATCTTCCACCCACATTTCTGCATATCGTAGATACAATCTCTTCCAGGTAGTAATAGGGCATTTTTCAGTGCTCTGATGTTTCTGTGTCTTTCTTGTAGTAAAGTGTATCTGTGATTAGTAATTATTATATATTCTTCCAGTAGGATGCAGTTGGGAGGTTATTTTCTCTCATTCAGTTATCATGCACTTTTACTTTAAATTCAGTGTCTTTTGAAAAAATGCAGTTTTGCTCCGGGCACAGTGGCTCATGCCTGTAATCCCAACACTTTGGGAGGCCTAGGTGGGTGGATCACCTGAGGTCAGGAGTTTTGAGACCAGCCTGGCCAACATGGTGAAACCCCATCCCTAATAAAAATACAAAACTTAGCCGAGTGCAGTGGTGGGTGCCTGTGATCCCAGACACTCGGGAGGCTGAGGCAGGAGAATCGCTTGAACACAGGAGGCAGAGGTTGCAGTGAGCCGAGATTGTGCCACTGTACTCCAGTCTAGGTGATAAGAGTCAGACTCGTCTCAAAAAAAAAATGCAGTTTTGAATGTATATTTGATGCTTAAATCTTCTGTACTTTAACGCCTTCATTGTGATCTTTTCTGTTTCTCCTCTCCCAGTCCCCAAATAACTTTACTGCCTGATGTCAAATCTAGTCGAGTTCAGTCCTTAATTCTAGTTTTGTTCCAAATTAATTGGGATTTATTTTGGTAAAATTAATATATTTAGGTAATATGCCAAAAAGTGGAAAGTAATCCAGAGCTGCTAATCTTTATCTGTTTCTACCTGCCGTTATCCCTCTCCCGGTCCTTCCTACCCTCTCTTCCTCTCACAGTTTACTAAATTCTAAGAAAGGGGAGGGAACCAAATAACATTTTGCCGGCTAAACCTTCTAGTGAAAAATAAGGACAGCTAGAAAATGGCATTCATTAAATTTGTCTGAAGCAAGGTTATTTTGCCTGAATTACTAAATTTATAGTCTTTCCAACTCCAAAATTCTAACTTTTAAAATATAGTTGTGAAAATGTGAAAAAGTACAAAAAGGCTAAAGTTAGAAATTATTCGTAATCAGAACACATGAAAGTAACATGTTAAGTTAAAAAAAAAAAATTTGTTTCTAAACACCAAGTAGATAAGAGTTTTTTCACTATATTTTGTCACATAGGTTCACCCTCTTCTTCAGTATTAGGGACAATATTTGTTTTATTTGTCCATCATCTGACTCTCCCAACTAGAATGTAAAATTCATGAAGGTGGGGATTTTTGTTTGTTTTTGCTATACTACACTACCTAGAACAGACACCTGTAAGCTCTCAATAATAGTTATTGAATAAAGTAATTTATGAACTCTTTTGCACAGATTTCAGAACTCAACGATTTCTGAGAAAACTCCCGTCTTACCTTCATTTTTTATTGTAATCCCAAGCAGCCACATCTAGACAACCCTCTGAAAGGTATTAAGAGATACAAAAAAAACTACCCTATCTTCTCAGAAATTGGTTTTTGTGTAATCCTATTTATGGCTTATGTAAGAAATAATTATATTTATAGTACCTTTATTTTTTTTTTTTCAAGTAAACCTCAGAAATGATTTTTCTTTTCTTTAAAATGCTCTTTTAGGGAGAGAGACAGTATTCCTATTTTTTGGATTTAGAAAGCCAAAGCCTATTTTAATGGCTTTCTTAACAACAGCAAAAATGGGTTTTTTTGTTGTTGTTGTTGTTGTTTTTTGGCGATAGAGTCTTGCTGTGTAGCCCAGGCTGGAGTGCAGTGGCACAATCTTGGCTCACTGCAAGCTCTGCCTCCTGGGTTCACGCCATTCTCCTGCCTCAACCTCCCAAGTAGCTGGGACTAGAGGTGCCCACCACCACGCCCGGATAATTTTTTGTATTTTTAGTAGAGACAGGGTTTCACTGTGTTAGCAAGGATGGTCTCGATCTCCTGACCTCGTGATCCGCCCACCTCGGCCTCCCAAAGTGCTGGGATTACAGGCATGAGACAACACGCCAGGCCTAAAAATGGCTTTTTAAATTAATGCAGCAAATTATTGGTAGAACTGGGGATTTTTAAGTTATTTGTTAAAAGGCACAGCAGAAATGCTACATTTGAGTTATATCTCAACTCAAAGAAAAATTATTGTGGAAAAGTGATAAACTGTTCAAAATGGCTTTTATTGGCTAAAGACAAAATAAGGTTTTTTTTGGGGGGGGGGGGGTTGCCCTTTCTTGTAAAAATATCAGACTGACATAAAGATACCAAAATAGAATTTAAAATATTTATTCCTAATAATTGCTACTGTGAGTCTACTTGGCTATTTTTACATTTCTAGTTTCACTTTAAGTATTCCTTACCAAAAAAAAAAAATAGTGGAGGGGGTGCTTTTAATCATTATAAGGGATACTGTATTTGACTTATTTTCACATAGTGTACCATGGAATGACTGGTTGATTATTCCCTATTTCTGTGTCTGTGACTTTTTACATACTCACTGGAAATGCACAGTAAATCTTCCCTTCTACCAGAAGCTGGGGTGGTATGCATCATACCACTGAGATTACATTCTCTCAACCCTTAAAACCAAACCAGACTGACTGAGCACCTCTCTTTACAAAATACACAACTATAATTTTGCTGATTACAGTTACAGAAAATGCTTGTTTCTTGTTGTTTATGCCTGTCCCTAATACTTTGGGTGTGCTTTCTCCTATTGCTGTGTCTTCTATTCTTTTCTCTGATTGCCAGGGCTCCCCACTGCATTCTGCCTTCTCTTGATCTTTCCTCTTACTACCCTGAAAAACTGATCTCTGGTGAAATAATCATGAGTTACAAAGTAACATATTTGCTATTTAAAAGATTTCTGAGAGTTTGGTTGACAAAAGTATGGAACAAGGCCGGGCGCGGTGCCTCAAGCCTGTAATCCCAGCACTTTGGGAGGCCGAGACGGGCGGATCACGAGGTCAGGAGATCGAGACCACCCTGGCTAACACGGTGAAACCCCGTCTCTACTAAAAATACAAAAAACTAGCCGGGCGAGGTGGCGGGCGCCTGTAGTCCCAGCTACTCGGGAGGCTGAGGCAGGAGAATGGCGTAAACCCGGGAGGCGGAGCTTGCAGTGAGCTGAGATCCGGCCACTGCAGTCCAGCCCGGGCTACAGAGCAAGACTCCGTCTCAAAAAAAAAAAAAAAGTACGGAACAAAAACAAAACCTTACCTGTATAAGAACTTAGGGTAAAACATTATTACTTTATAATATACCAAGGTGAGTGCAAGCATTACTGTCATGGAACAAAAGAATCTTTAGCAGCTAACTGCCCCATTCCACTGTCAAATGCTGGTCATTTGGCTAGCATCCTTTTGATGCTAACTGTGGAGGTGGGGAAGGAGCAGTGCTTTCAGCTTCCTAATAAAGGAGTCAGTCACTATATTCTGGTAGACCTCAAAAAGAGCAATGTATTTTACCAAAATTGTTGTAGAAAGCATTTAAAATACATAAAGGGGCAACAGGTAGAAGAGGTGGTCCAAGGTGGGAGAAAAGAAAGGAGATCAGTGAGAGAAGGAAAAGTCACTAGAGGCTAGACTCCTCATGACAGTAGGGATCCTGGCCTGGATCAGAGCTAGGATTATGTAGCAGGTACTCAGTAAATACTGTCGAATGAATGAGAGGGTGAGATGCAGACAGTAAGATGAACAGGACAAAAGCTGTCAGGAAAGGGAAATAATCTTTAAATATTTTTGTTAAGAAATAAACCTGGGGAGGAGGAGGAAAAAGGGTGAGAAAAATAGTAATAATATTTTAAAAATAAACCTAGGCCAGGTGCGGTGGCCTGTAATCCCAGCACTTTGGGAGGCTGGGCCGAGCAGATCACCAGGTCAGGAGTTGAAGACCAACCTGGCCAACTTGGTGAAACTCCATTTCTACTAAAAAAAAATACAAAAATTAGCTGGTCATGGTGGCATGCACGTGTAATCTCAGCTACTCAGGAGGCTGAGGCAGGAGAATTCCTTGAACCCGGAAGGCAGAGATTGCAGTGAACCGAGACCGCACCACTGCACACCAGCCTGGGCGACAGAGTAGGACTCCATCTCAAAAAACAAAAAAAATAAATAAACATGACTTTGGGAGGCAGAGGTGAGAGGAATGCTTAAGACCAGGCGTTCAAGACAAGCTTGGGCAACAAAGTGAGACCCTGCCTCTGATGTTTAAACATAAAAATAAATTTTTTAATAAATCTGATGTTTGTGAAGGATTTGTTCATTTTTTTTCTTCCTCTGAGTTCTTTAGCTATGGCATTGGAGAGATCAAGTCCTATACAACAGCGTAACACTATGAACTTTCCTGTAATATCAAAAGGACCTAAAACAACAAGTATTCCTACCTCCAAATACTGCATCGACGCCTGGGAAGTAGCAGTGAACATTTGAGATGCCTCGTTATTCAAAGGACTTAAAAGCCAGAGTCTTCCTATTATTTGATAAAACAGTACAAATGGAAGACTTTTGAAATTATGCTTATGTGTGTGTGTGACTTTCTTCTGTTCATCTTTTTAGGTGGCATCCTTAGCTGGGCCTGGAGGGCAAGTGGAAATAGAACAGAACTTCCTTAACAATAAATTGAAGACAATCACTGCATATTTTGGTGACCTAATTCGAAGACCAGCCTCTGAAACCTAACTATGCAGCAGTGTGAGAACCAAAGATCATGGAGTGGTCAAAACATTCAGATGAGACATTTGGCATGTCTTCCTTTATTCGCTGATATTTTCTACCCATGGTCTTATATCACTGTATGAAATGGAAACTTACAGGACTCAAATATCAGTGAAATATTTTGAGATCTTTGAATAATTCCTTTAGAGGAATTATACAAAATTAACATATGAGTTCTTTGTAATTTTTTTTTTTTTTTTTTTTTTTTGAGACAGGATCTCACTCTGTCACCCAGGCTGGAGTGCAGTGTCATCATGATCACAGCTCACTGCAGGTTCAACCTTCTGAGCTCAAGCAATCTGCTTCAGTCTCCCCAGTAGCTGGGGCTTTAGGTGGGCACTGCCACACCAGACTAATTTTTGTATTTTTTTAGAGACGAGGTCTCACCATGTTGGTCAGGCTGGTGCCAAACTCCCTGGGCTCAAGTCAGTCCACCCACCTTACCCTCCCCAAGTGCTGGGATTACAGGCATGAGCTACTGTGCCCAGCCTTACGGACGTCCTTTTGAAGTATCTTTTTCACTCATAGAATATGAATACATTTATTTAGACCTTTTCTAGAACTTCCTGTTTTCGTGTCTTTGCTTCATCTGGAATTGGCTTCTTGACACCCTTTTATAAAGTCTGTGTTTGTAAAATTTCCATTGCGACATCAATACGAAATATATTTTGTAATATAGGAGTTTGTATTCTTTTTTTATTAAAATGGCAATGAAAGCAAAAGGGATATGTGTTGCTTAATTATTCATCTAAAAAGTGTGTTGGGGCAAAAAAATAGTGACATACAACTCTGTCCATTGAAGGTTAGACCTGGGACTTCTATATTTTAATAATATGAGCATGTTAAACATTAAACAGAACATGATATTGGCTGGGATAAGATTAGAGAATTGAAATAAATTTGGGGAATTTCCAAGAAATACTGGAAAATTAGACTAGAAAAAACAGCTGTTATATAAATAACTTTATTGGAGTATGCTAATTTTAGTGTCTTGAAACTTTACAGTACAGTAGTAACTGAGCTGATCATTAAAGGTGAAATTACTTTTTCATTAATTCACACCTTCAAAATCTGTCCAAATGTTCTTGGTTTTTAAACTTTATGTAGCATTCTTAAAGTCACGAGGGAGATGGCAGGTGAAGTAAAGGCAGATTTTCAAAATCACCAGTTTTTTTTAGTTTTCTGTCACTTAACCTTTCATGCATATACTTATTTCCACAACTAATTTTCTTACTTGTATATTAAACTAACTCATCTTCCTGAACATACATGATCTTATATGAGAAGAACAGGAAGCTTAGCCTTAGTTAGCTAAAACTAAGATATTCTTGCCCACTAATCACACAGGGATAAAACTAATAGACTGTTAAGATTGTCAGTACTCAATAGGACTTCAGAAGCGTTCTAGTCCATTGTGTGAATCAGGTTCAAAAAAATCTTACTAAGAAGAAAAATACATAAAATGGATAAAAAGACTGGGTGCAGTGGCTCACGCCTGTAATCCCAGCACTCTTGAGAGGCCAAGGTGGGTGGATCACCTTGTGGTCAGGAGTTCTAGACCAGCCTGACCAGCATGGTGAAACCCCGCCTCTCTACTAAAAATGCAAAAATTAGCCAGGCGGGGTGGCACACGCCTGTAATCCCAGCTACTCAGGAAGCTAAGGTAGGAGAACTGCTTGAACCCAGGAGGTAGAGGTTGCAGTGAGCCGAGATTGTGCCACTGCATTCCTGCCTGGACAACAGAGCAAGACTGTCAAAAAAAAAATGTGAAAGTACTCCCGACCTGCCACATTTTCTTTCCCCTGTGAGACCCCTATCTCAAAAAATAAGTAAGTACATAACCATAATTTGTTAATGATTACAGCAGTTCTCATATATTCCATGTCTATTAAAAATGATAGTACAGATTGATATCTACGTATTTGGAGATGGGGGCTCACGCCTGTAATCCCAACACTGGGAGGCTGAGGTGGGCAGATCACCTGATGTCAGGAGTTCAAGACCAGCCTGACCAGTGAAACCCCATCTCTAGTAAAAATACAAAAATTACAGTGGTGGTGCAAGCCTATAGTCCCAACTACTCGGGAGGCTGAGGCAGGAGAAATTCTTCAACCCAGGAGGCAGAGGTTGCAGTGAGCCAAGATTACACCACTGCACTCCAGCCTGGGTGACAGAGCAAGACTGTCTCAAAAAAAAAAAAAAAAAGAATGCTTTTGATTTTTGTGTCTTTATATTCAGTCATCTTACTGAACTTGTTTATTAGTTCTAATAATTTTTGTTTGTTTCTCCCCTCCTTCCCCCCCATAGTTTTTAATTGATACACTTTGATTTTGTAAATAAGCAGTCATGACATCTACACATGAGTTTTTCTCTTTGCAAAAATGTAAGCCTCTTAATTTTTATTTTCCTGTTGCATTGGTTCGGACTGCCAGGAATGTTGTAATAGCACTTGTTCCTTCTTATTTTGCAGTGAAAGGTTAGAAGCATTTCTATTAAATGTTATTGTAGCTCACATCAAAATTAAGATATTGCCTCTCCTATTTCTTTTTTTTTTTAAATTTTAGGCTTCCTCAAATCATGGGGTTCCACTTTTTTATTTAATGTAGGAAAGTCTAAATTACCTTAAAATTTTCAAATTATTTAACCCTATCTGTGTTCCTTTAATTAAATCCAGCTGTGTCATAATGTATTAAATAGTTGACTACTGGATTTCGTTTGATAAATTTACTTTGTTTTGTTTTGTTTACGTTTGCTTTTGAGCACCTTGCCTGGTTTTGGCATCCAAGTCAAGCTATTCCGGCAGAATGCTTTAGTAAGTGTTTCATTTTTTTCTTTCTCCCCCCCTGCCCCGCCTTTTTTTTTTTTTATAATTTTCATTTCACAGGTACATGTGCAGGTTTGTTACATGGATATGTTACCTGATGTTGACATTTGGGCTTCTACTGATCCATCACCCAAATAGTGAATATAGTGCTTAATAAATAGTTCTGTGTCCTAAATAACATTGGCAGTGTCTGTTCACTAAACTCTTGGTGGAACTGCGTGAAGATTGGGCCTGGTAACTTTCTGAGCAAGATGTTTTGATTGCAGCTTTTTTTTTTTTTTAAAAGACAGGGTCTCGCTCTGTCACTCAGGCTAGAGTGCAGTGGTGCAGTCTTGACCTCCTAGGCATAAACAATCCTACCACCTCAGCCTTCAGAGTAGCTGGGACCACAGGCATATGCCACCATGTCCAGCTAATTGCTAATTTTTTTTTTTTTAAGAGACAGGGTCTCACTATGTTGTCCAGGCTAGAAGTGCAGCTTTTTTTTATTTTAAACTTACTTTATATTTGTTTATTATTCTGATTTAGTCAAATGCCAGCATTTTTTTAACTACTTTTTTTTTTTTTTTTTTTTTTTTGGAGATGGAGTCTCACTTTGTCACCAAGGCTGGAGTGCAGTGGCACTATCTCGGCTCACTGCAAGCTCCGCCTCCCGGGTTCACGCCATTCTGCCTCAGCCTCCGAGTAGCTGGGACTACAGGCATGCACCACCATGCCTGGCTAATTTTTTGTATTTTTAGTAGAGACGGGGTTTCACCATGTTAGCCAGGATGGTCTCGATGTCCTGACCTCGTGATATGCCCGCCTCGGCCTCCCAAAGTGCTGGGATTACAGGCGTGAGCCACCGCGCCCAGCTTTTTTTTTTTTTCAGACAGAGTCTCTGTCACCCAGGCTAGAGTGCTGTGGCATGATCTCAGCTCACTACAACCTTCACCTCCCAGGTTCAAGCAATTCTCATGTCTCAGCCTCCCAAGTAGCTGGGACTACAGGTGTGCACCACCACACCCAGCTAGTTTTTTGTATTTTTAGTAGAGATGGGGTTTCACCATGTTAGACAGGATGGTCTTGAACTCCTGGCCTCAAGTGTTCCGCTGGCCTTGGCCTCCCAAAGTGCTAGGATTACAGGCATGAGCCACCGCGCCTGCCCAGAAAATAGCTATTTATTTAGATTTTGACAATATAAAGTTAATACATTATCTCATACTTGTTTTAATTCTTTTTTTAACTTCATTTTTGAATCATTTCTGACTTGTAAAAAAGCCTGAAAAATAATACAAAGAATATCTCCAGCTACTCAGAAGGGAGCGCAGTAGTTATCCTGCCATGTCTTTGTCAATATATACTGTTGTTTACTTAATTTTTAAACTTAAAAGTGATTTGTAAAGGAATTACAAATACTGCCACGAATGAGAAATCACTATCTCTTTTAATATTTGCATATTAATATGAAAAATGTTCATTAATTTTTTACCTAAAAGAACACTGCAGGCCAGGAGCAGTGGTTCACACCTGCAATCCCAGGACTTTGGGAGGCTGAAGCAGGTGATCACCTGAGGTCAGGAATTCGAGGCCAGACTGTTCAATATGGTGAAACCCTGTCTCTACTAAAAATACAAAAATTAGCCGGGCATGGTGGCATGCGCCCTATAGTCCTAGCTACTCGGGAGGCTGAGAAAGGAGAATTGCTTGAACTAGGAGATGGAGGTTGCAGTGAGCCGAGATCACACCACTGCACTCCAGGCTAGGCAACAGAACCAGACTGCATCTCAAAAGAAAAAAGAACACTGCATACCACACTTCGGGGAAACTTGGAATGGGTGATGAACAATAAAGATAAAGACCCATATTGCCCCCTCCAGGAGCGAGGATTTGTCACATGATGTGCCGGTGTACACAAAAAGGCTGCCCTTTGAACTGTATGGTACGTTATCACAGGAGACACAGTAGAAATTTTCCAGGTTAAAAGGTTGGGACAAGACATTCCAAGGAAAGAAACAGCATTTAGAAGGCACAAAGGCAAATGAAGGCTGAGCATATGTGGGCATCAGTAAATGCTGAATTTACCAAGAAGTCACTGAAGTTACGACTGATGAGGTAGCAGGGTCTCCTGTGCTGAGCTGAGGAGTGAAGGCTGGCTGCATACTGAAGGCAGTGGGAGCCTTTCAGAGTTTGAAAGCTTGGTAAAGCCTAAGGGCTCCTCGTCAGAAAAAAAAATTACGGCGTGGTGGCTCAGGCCTGTAATCCCAGCACTTTGGGAGGCCGAGGCAGGTGGATCACGAGGTCAGGACTTCAAGACCAACCTGGCCAAGATGGTGAAACTCCATCTCTACTAAAAATACAAAAGATTTAGCCGGGTGTGATGGCGGGTCCCTGTAATCTCAGCTACTCAGGAGGCTGAGGCAGAGAATTGCTTGAACCTGGGAGGCGGAGGTTGCAGTGAACCAAGATCTCGCCACTGCACCACTCCAGCCTGGGCGACAGAGCAAGGCTCTGTCTCAAAAAAAAAAAAAAAAAAAAAAAAGGTTTTAAATGCATAGAATAAGGCCAGGCACGGTGGCTCACACCTGTAATCCTAGCACTTTGGGAGGCCAAGGCGGGTGGATCACTTGAGATCAGGAGTTCAAAACCAGCCTGGCCAACACGGTGAAACCCTGTCTCTACTGAAAATACAAAAAAAATTATCTGGGCATAGTGGTGGATGCCTGTAATCCCAGCTATTCAGGAGACTGAGGCAGGAGAATTGCTTGAACCCGGGAGGCAGAGTTTACAGTGAGTTGAGATCATGCCATTGCACTCCAGCCTGGGTGACAGTGCGAGACTCCATCTCAAATTAAATTAAATTAAATTAAATTAAATTAAAAATAAATGCATAGAATAAAAGCCTAGAGGCCGGGCGCA